GGATGCCAAAATTATATATATATATATATATAAAATATAATATTAGAAAAATTAATGAAAAAACAAAAAGCCAGGGCTTTTCGTTCCTTAGAATTTTTGGAAAGAGTTGTTTCTATTGATGCAGGAACAATAGGGGATACAGGAATTATATAAACGCTAATTATGTAAAGATAAACGCTAAAAATATTGGGACGCTGAAAGTTTATCTTTTAAATTTACATTTATTTTATAGACGTGTTGAAATTTCTTTCAGTTACCTTTGTGTTTTTTTTTTAATTTTTTATCACTATTCTTGGCCTTCTGTTTCGTGTTTAATATTTAATAATTAGGGTGATGGAGGAGCTGAAATGTATTTTCAATGTATTTATCCTCTTTATATGAAAATGTGAGGTCTACAAATTTTTAAGAGTCGTCTTAAATAGGATCTGATAAATATCGTATGTTCAATTTTGTTTAGTTTATATACAAGATCAAGTAATACATTTCTTCGGACATCTATTAACAGAGCGCTATTGATATTTAAAAAATTTAAAGATTCTTTAAGTTTGTGGCTGGCTGGAATTATAACAGTGAAAAAAAAAAAAAATTTATACAGAGCATAACAGGTGGAGTTGGGGGACGGCAGGAGTTAAAATTTAAGAAAGAATCAGAAGGAATTTTTAGTTGGCTGCGTGTCTCACTGCATCCCTAAATTATATAAATAAACGAACTTTCAAATACAATTAAAAACGAGACAATGCAATTTAGAAAACAATGCAACATTTATATACAATTTAACAATATACAGATTGGGTAATCAGTGTGTGTCGTGTGGACGAAATGTGTATGTAATTGTTTGATTTGTGAATGTCTCTTTGTTGATATTGTTCGTTGGGTCGCTGTCTTTTGTTTGTGTCAAATATCGTAATTTGAATAATAAGAGTTTTTTGGAAAGAGTTTTTTTAGAGTGGTCTACCCTTAAACGTATTTGATGTTTACTTATTTTTTTAGTAGTGAATTTAATTCACTGTACATAAGCAAAGTTGAGAAAAGTGTTCACAGAGTTGATTGATGAATGTTCGAATGTGAGTCAGCTAATTGTCTTCATGCGCGGCAAAATTATGGTATGCAGTGGCGTGGATTATATTGGAAATTACTCTGCGAATTCGTGAGACTGACTGGCGTGGAGTTGGTAATTGTCTTTAACGTCTGGTCAGCAATGACTAAGACTGGAGTCGGTGAATGTTACATCTTGAAACTTGGTAATTACTGCTGCTATTCTCTGCGAAGGTTCAAACGTTCTCTGTTTATATATCCAACGGGTGGCTTACTTGAATTTGGCGCAATTTCAGTTTTGCACGTGAACTTCAAGTGATTGACCAATGAAGTTGTTTGCTTCGTTTCTTGTCGTTTTTATTGGTTGAAGTTTTCTAGGTACGTAGGCGTACGATGTGGACTCTGCTTTTGTTAGGGTTAGAAGGTAAGGATATTGGACGAGTCCACAGAGTCATGTATTAACTAAAACGTTATAGAGACACGCCTTATTTTCCTTTATCTTTAGTGATGAGTTTTACATATGAGTGCCACTTAACTTTTGGGGTGAATCTGTGTTCCAATAAGTGTTCAAGGCAAAGATTCTCATTAAGCGGACAATCATTCATCATGGTACGTGAATGTTCAGTGTCTGCTCTGTGATAGTGGAAAGTTACTAGTTTGGTTCTAGATGTATTCAATGTTCGACGCCAGTTCTTTCCCTTTTGATTTACGTTGAGCCAGTCGTCTCATTTTCCTTACATTAAGTCATTTCTTCCTCCTTTCTCTTGCATTGAGCTAGTCATTCCCCCTTTCTTTTACACTGAGCAAGCAACAGCTACTTTATTTACATTGAGCTAGTCTTTCCTCTTTCACTTATATTGAGCCAGTCCCGCACTTACATTAAACCAGTTTTTTTCTTTTTCTTATTGAGAGGTCCTCCACGTTTTCCTTACAGAGAGCCAGTCCTTTTCTTTTTCCTTCCACTGAACCAGTCATAGTGCCTTCACTTTCACTGAGCCAGTCCTTTCACTTTTCACTTACATTGAACCAGTTCCCCCTACCCTTTACATTGAGCCAGTCTTTCCTTCTTTCTGTTCGACTGATCCCATTTTTCTTATATTGAGCCTTTCTTTCCTTCATTAAACTGTTATTTATATATCCAAAAATACTCGTAAAATGAGTAACAGAAAGTTATGTTTACAACAAAAGGAATATTATTTAGTATCTGGTTGTTATGCGATGTTGCAAATATAAGAGACAATGATACTTAGTATAACTGTGATTTGGGGGTCAAATATTGATCAAATATCGATCGAAATCTGACACAATCATAAGACATAGAATAAGTAAATTGTATAAGAAATTGTATAAGGAAATAAATATAAGTATTTCAATTGTGTAAAAAATAAGTAATTGTATAGAGTCTTTCTCGTATGATTTTATAGATGTATGTAATGAGTGTACAGATAATTTCGTTGGAAAATACAAGTCTGAGATCTTCTTGCTTCGAATTTCTATTGAGAGCAAAGAGATAAATGTTGCTATTATGACCTGAAAAAATAAAAGGAGCCAAAATTTTCGTTGATGCACGTGTTAAAGGCTTATCAGTGTTGATTGCTTGTTTTATACTGAGAACGTAAGGTGTTTGTTTTTTTTGGGGGGTTTGGAGGAGAAATGTGTGGGTCGATTTCCTTGGATTAGAAAAAGTGAATTAACGATAATTATAATTGTTATAATTAATTTATAATTATTTTTGACACTATAATTATTTTTATGGGCAAGACACAGTGGTAATATATGTTACAATTTTTGGATACATTATGTACTAGTGAGTTAGCCCAAATGACTTGACTCACTTTATAGTCCACCAATAGAAGGTTAACCAATCAGAAGACGTAGAATATTCAATCCGTCGTGTATAAAGGCGGCCATTTTTGTTCACTCTACCCGAATGTCCAATGCCAGTTTGTCAGGCGAAGAGAAACAGAAGGAAGAACTACGCTCTGCTACTTTTACCGGGATATCCACTGCTAACCTGAACTACGCTTCCCTACTGTCTTCGAAATATTCACTGCTAACCTCTGGATTCTATACTCAAAGATGACCGCCATCATGAACAACAATATAATTAATTTTTATTTATGTATGCTTCTATGGACACAACAAGGCAAAATCCTCTGTAAGAATCATATTCAAGAAAACAAGAAAATACAAACTAAAACACCACAGCGGCGAACCCATTATTAATATAAATATTTGCTAGAATTATTGTTAAAGATGAAATAGCATTGTTTGCTGAGGTGTTTGAATTTTATTATTTTATTTATTAGTAGGGGAATGTTGATTTTTTTTACTGTGTTAGATACTTTTAAACAGACTGAAGATTTTGTTAACTGAAATGTTGATGAAAATTGATTTATCATCTCAATTCGATATGGGTCTACCTGTCAAATTTATTCCGCTGAGTTTTTCGGCCATGTTGCTTTATATGCAAAGGGCTTTTTATGGCTTTCGCTACATCATAACGAGCGCTGCGAATATCCGATAAAATGCGGCGTATGGGAATACCGGATTTGTGTGTTTTAATGTGACCATACAGTTTAGGTACTATTGGGCTATATTCTATTAGTTTATAAATTGAATTATTTTCATTACAAGTTAGTTTTCTAGTTGCTCTATTAAAATCCTCTGTCACTGTAATTATTTTGTGTTCATCTATTTTCTCATGGGTGTAGGTTTCGTTGAGTAGCCGTAGAAGTAGCTAGGCTTGCCTATTTTCCTGTTCATACTACTTCAAGATATTTTTGTAACAGGTGCAAAGGTTTGTCAATTGCTTACTGTTTAAGATTAGGATTTCGGTTCCTTCAACGACGTACTTCTGACGTCTCCGCCTGAAATCATCAGTTCTATTCATTATCATTTTTTCCCTCTCTAAACAGGAGTAAACATGTTCCCCTATCGTCTGGTTCACATTCCTCTCCGATCTATTGAGCAGGAGGACTGGATTTCCGGTTCCTTCAAATCTCCTAACGTCTCTGCATGAACTCTGAAATGTTATTCTCTAATTAAATTTTGACCTCTTCAAATCTATAATTAGCTGCCAATCGTTCCCTTTACCTTGCCCTTTTTTACGTTAATACAACTCCACACAGAAACACTTTGGGTGACACTTGGGCCTTGTATTGGGTTATCGTCAGTAAAAGAAAATGTGATGTGATTTCGATATTTGGGGTAAAATTCGTAGTGCATTTACATATTTCTGTGGTCAGTCAGTTATGTTCCATGCGTGATACATGACTGACGAGGCAGATTTTTCTTTCCCGCAGTAGGTTGCCATTTCTTTCTGCGGTAGACCAGTTGTCATCCATGGCTATAGAACCCGGTCTGTACTGCTATTTATCCATAGCTTGAGGAGGAAGAAGAGGATTCATACTTATCCCAAGGGTATTAGGACGTAAGTGAATGTAATTGATTCGACTGGAATTCGAACTCGGCTCTCCGATTCCGCAATCCGAGCCGCTATTCACCTGTGGTAGTATCCTTAATTCTTCATTTCTACAGTGGCAGAAATTATTCCTTGAATGAAGTCTTTGGTAACTGTTGGGTCATTGCGTCTATGATCTTTAAACCTTTTACTGACTTTTTCTCTTTTGTGAGGCCTTGTCGCGAATTTTAAAATAAGGCTAAGAGGTTCCAATTCGGTAATGGATATTATGCTGATTTTCTAAACGGTGTCAGATCTAAGCGTAGAAAGTGTGGGGTACACAGAGAGGATCGAACTCACTACACAGTTGTAATTGTTCTAACGAAACAAGCTTGCTAACCATGACAGCAAGTTAAGAACCGAGTCATGACAGTCAATGTCTTCAATCAAATCACCCCATACATCTAGCCATCTAACTCCAATATGTTCAACCTTTCCACAAATCTGAGTTACAATCGTCACTATCTGTTTCTAAGCACACATATCAAATTCTAACCAAGCCATGGTAATGTGCATTTTGGGCAAATCTGTTTTTAGAGGATTTTACCTAATAACAAGATATATATATTCCCCCGTCTGCTTACCGTAAAACTGGTTTTACCGTACAGTACCTCAGGGTTCTTGCATCTATGGAAAATTTTATTTGCAGTCTGACGAAAAATTTAGCCGTATTTTTTTTTTTTTTAGGAAGATCTGTAATATATTTTGTCTGGCGACATTTTCAACCGCTATACTATACACTCGACTTGAATACTGCTGTTCCAAATCCCATTTCTAAATTATAACCGTACATAATTCTATCCATAGATAACGCCGTTACTTTAGCCATATTATTTATGAAAGCCTGCATGAAGTGAAGAATGCGCATGCTTATTACATTACATTTAAATTCTTTATTTATGTAGAACTCACAGATACGGTCTAAGAGAGTGCCGAGTAAAAATGTTTTAAATATATATTATGAATTTCAGAAATACTTGAGATTTTGGCGTACGTATAATCTTGTTATTCAATGTTAAAATTAAAATTTCATAAAATTATATTTTATGAAATAAAAAGTTGCTGCAATAAATTATGAGTATTAGACGACAAATATTTGGTTCTGTCTTTTACATATAACATTGTATTCCGTACTTGAAAAGTAAATTATATTATTTTAAATGAAATCAGTTGTAACAGACGAATAGCTTTGCGACTGACGATCTACTTCAGTCTGTTTATATCTATCTATCTATCTATCTATCTATCTATCTATCTATCTATCATTCATCTAGTCTGTTTCTAGTCTATCTATCTATCTATCTATTCATCTATCTATCTATCTATCTATCTATCTCAGTCTGTTTCTATCTATCTATCTATCTATCTATCTCTATCTCAGTCTGTTTCTATCTATCTATCTATCTATCTATCTATCTATCTGTTTCTTTCTTTATTTTTTCTTTCTATCTATCTATATCAGTCTTTTCATGTCTATTCATTTCAAGCTGTTTATATCTATCTATCTACGTATCTATCTCAGTCTGCTTCTATCTATCTATCTATCTATCTATCTATCTATCTATCTATCTATCTATCTCAGTCGGTTTCTATCTATCTATCTATCTATCTCAGTCGGTTTCTATCTATCTATCTATCTATCTATCTATCTATCTATCTATCTATCTTAGCTTGTGGATTATCTAGCTAGCTATATATCTATCTACCTATCTATCTCAGTCTGTTTCTATCTATCTATGTATCTATCTATCTATCTATCTATCATCTATCTATCTGTCTATCTCAGTCTGTTTCTATCTATCTATCTATCTATCTCAGTCTGTTTTTATCTATCTATCTATCTAACTTAGCTTGTTGATTATCTAGCTAGCTATCTATTTCAGTTTGGACATATCCATCTATTTGTGTGTGTGTGTGTGTGTGTGTGTGTGTGTGTGTGTGTGTGTGTGTGTGTGTGTGTGTGTGTGTGTGTAAAAGAGCACTTTTTCATTCGAATAGTTTTTTTTAATTCCAAGATGTTTCGGCTATTTCTATGGAAAGGAATTTTAGATTTTTATTGTAAGTCATCCGTTTACGGTTGTTATATTTTTGGTTATTTAAAATTCTTCTTGTTTTGAATTATGTGTATCAAATTTTACATGAAATTTATATAACTTATCTTCAAATGTAGTCTTTATCAAGTTGTTAAATAATACTATTTGCCTACATCTATCAACATTATTTATAAGATTTTTTTATTTAATTCTTTGAGATTTACAAGTTTTTTTCGTGTTAAATAGGAAATATTTAATATATAGGATGAGTTTAAAAGTATTGTGAATGTATTTCGTTTCATCATATAAAAACCAGCGCCTACAAATTCTAAGTGCTCTTTAAAATAAACAGATGGTAAAAAATGTTTTTCATTCATCTAAAGTATTGATCTCTATGAAAGTAAAAGAAACGCTTATTTTATTCAAATATTGGTGAAGGCAATCCATCTAGGGGTAGGAAAATTTCAAGCGTAAAGCCTCGCTGGGAAAAGACCATGTGAAGACAGGTTTAATGAAAAACACTCGAGCAAGGTTATGTCAGAGATTTCGTTTCGGTTTGTTTTTTAAATGACTTGCCTTTTTTAGGGCGAGTATTGGTAATTATGTGCAAATTGCAGAATTGGTAACTATGTTCAACTTGCAGAAGACTTAGATGTGCCATGATATTTATGATATGCTTAGCTTTGATGGGCTAAAATTAATGGTAAACGATTAACAAAAATTCAAAATAGTCAAAATTCGTCACACACGCACATATACTGTGGACTAAGAAAAGATTTAGCCAGGAGAAATAAACTACATCCAATTTCAAAATTTAATTACGTAATACCAACTCAACATATTGGAACTAGTATTGAGTAGGTCCTCCATTTTCTAGTTTCAGTGCTTGTCTTCGATTTTTCATGGATTTGATCAAGTTGTCAACAATCGTCTGATTCACATTTTGCCACCCTGTTGCAGGCTCTCAAAGATTTCGGTCAAGGTGCTCTCAAACGTTCTCTATCGGATTAATATCAGGACTTTGGGCTCCCTTGGCAGTGCCTTGATTCCTTGCCATTTCTTCTATGATCGTGCAAATTTGCTCGTATGATATGGCGCTCCATTTCCTTGAAAAAGGTAAATATTCTTGTCAATCTAATTGGTTTCAAATAGTGGAGATGTCCTTTCCCTAATATCTGACAGTATTTTGGACCATTCAATCGCTCGTCAACAAGAATCAGCTTAGATTTCCCGCCAAACCAGACAGCGCCTATTACTCCAATTTCTCCATGTTTCACGGTTTCCTGCAGATATTCAGTCTTCTGAGTCTCATTCATTTTTTCCAAACATAAGCCTTTCTCTAATTCGAATATTGGCAGAATTTACTTCCATCTGAACAAATTCCAGTCTGCAAAATTTCATAATCTTTGCTCTCGAATTCTCTCGCTCAGTCCATACGAAGGTTCTTGTTAACCTCTAAAATGAAGGGCTTCTTTCTTGCCATTCTTCTTTGATAACCTAGTTCTTGCAGTGTCTTTCTCGCTGCATATGGCGACATATTCATGCTGTTGGCGACATCTTTGACGCTCTAACTGATTTTCCTCATCAGCGACCTTTTCGTTCGCTCAGACACGATGCTTGGTTACCTGAACGTTGTTCCACACAAAAATGTCCTTCTTCATTAGATTTCTTGGCAATATTATTAGCCGTTTGATGATTAACCTGGAAAAACCTAGCAATTTCTCTATTTGACTTGCCACACTGATGCCATCCTATTATTTGCCCTCGTTGAAATTCACCAATCTCCTTACTTCCGCGAACTTTCATTGCAAAATATCAATCAACTATCATTCATAGATGAAAGTAGATGGATATGGTATTGTCTGAAAAAAAAAGAAGAAACGTTATTACGCCAGCCAAAATTGCTGTAATCAAGGTTTGCTAAAAACTTATTGCACACTGTACATCCAAAGGTATATATGAGGAATATCAAAAAGTGTCGGGACTGGTGTTACAAAAACAAATCACGATACAAATCTACTCGGGATTTAAACTCTTTCGAAGTAGTCCCCTTTTTTATTCAGTGTAGTTCCCAATGATGAAAGCATTCCTGGAAAACATTTTGTGGAATGACGCGCAGCTGCCTGGTCACATTCTCTTAGATTTCTTCGACGTCTTGAAATCTTGCTACTTTTAGGGAGGTGGGGTCTCTGATATTTGGAAAGAGAAAAAAAGTCGCAAGGTGTGAGGACTGGGCGGGGAGAAGATGGTTTTTGGTCATACCTGCGGAATGTTGACCTTGTCCAAACTACTGCACAAGACATGGTCAGTAATGGAAACTCTGTGGTAAGACGATGGCACTTAATGCATTTTACTTCCAAACTCTGCGATAAACAACGGAAATAAGCGAAAAGGTTACAACTTACTGTGTATTCGTCACAAAGTTTAAGGTCAATAAGCTTCACTTTTCCCACATTAGATTGGTTAACATAGCGACATTCTTTCAAACCTAGCGTATATATATATATATATATATATATATATATATATATATATATATATATGTGTGTGTGTGTGTGTGTATTAAACAACATTTCGCGGACCTTCAAGCCTGTAAATGTTGTTTAAAACTGTTCATTATAAACAGAGCATTTACTTAAATACTTGTATCTAAAAAAGTATGTATAAACATAAAAATTTCTTAAAATAATTATCGGACTTTGTATATATATATATATATATATATATATATATATATATATATATATATATATATATATATATATATATACTACTCATATACATATATATATATATATATATATATATATATACATACTGACACACACACACACACTCATATATATATATATATATATATATATATATATATATATATATATATATATATTATGAAATATAATTTTAAAGTATGCTATATTTTATGGGAAAATGGGCATTGCATTCAGCATGAAACAGTCAATGTCACACACACACACACACACACACACACACACACATATATATATATATATATATATATATATATATATATATATATATATATATACTAAATATATATCAAAAGAATATAAAATACTTAAAATACTGGAAATGATTTTTATTTCATGAGAGCTCTAAAACAGCATCCTCCATCTTCAAATCCAACAAACACGTCACAAAATGAAATGGAAAATATATTCCGGGTTAGCAACAAGAAATATTGATATCTTCTTTAGAGAGTAGGGGAAAAGGCAGAGAGAGTTGACCTATTTTGATACACTGACCACAATATATCATTTGAAGATGGTGGAAGGGCTTAAAGTGTATTTAGGTTATTGTAAATCTTAACCCATCCCGTATGTTTCTGTCAGCCGCCAAATTTCCAATTATTTGTAAGTAATGTTAAAAGAGAAAATTTTTAAAGATTTCAAAATTAGCGAAAAAGTTTTCATAAGCTTTTTCTATAATTAACCAAGAAATTTGAATTAAAATACCTGAGAAAATTTGAATTAAATGAGTATTAATAATATTCAGGGAAATATATATATATATATATATATATATATATATATATATATATATATATATATATATATATATATATATATATATATATATATATATATATATCGTACCTTAGATTGTTTTATTAAGATTTAGCAGCATATGAATTTGAACTAAGGAAAAGTTAAATCGGTGTGAGTTCTCTGTATTTCATTCAACAAATTCTGGTTCAGAACATTTTGAAAAGTTCTTACGAAAATAAATTTAAATTAAATGTGAATTAGTACAGGCTTTTTGTGTAACCAACGAAGAAATTTAAGTTAAAAACCTAAGAGATTTGAATTAAATGATTATTAATTAAATTCAGTAAAAACATATTTATATAGGTTAAATATCTAGAGTCCTGAATTTTTATGCCCTAGAGGTATTTATTAAGATTTAGCAGGATATGAATGTACTTTAATCTATGGTTAATCTAGATCAGAGTTAATCTCTTAGTGTATATCTATTAAGTATATGAGCTATCCCTGGATCTATATCCTCCTGGAAATTACAAACGTTTTACCATATTGTATCTTCTCTCACTCACTAGAAACTAGAATAATCCTAAGGAGTCAAGTAAACCTTCCAAGGTTTCACCTAAACGGATCTTCAAGATAAAAACTGGCTTCAGGGTAAAACTGGATCTTCAGAGTAAATCGGTTTTGCCTGGCTTCTTATGATTATTTTAGTTTATCGCTCTACTTAGCGTATTGAGCACTCTACGTTTAGTCTTTCTACTCGTTTGTTTGTTTTTTATTTTGGTCTTAGAAGTTAAGCACTTGACGAATAGTTTAGTTTTGTGCTAATTTTTTTTGGTTCTTTCTTTTTTAATTTCCAATTTTTCCTCGGGTAACGATTTGTTCTATTACAAGTTCTGCTATCCGAGATTTTTCAAACGAGTATTACCATATATATATATATATATATATATATATATATAGCGTCATCCACAGACAGAGTGTTTCGCAGCTCATCAGTGTGGCTAGACATCAGGTTGCCTCTAGCTAGGATCGAAACCCGACTGAATTGGTGCCAGTCGGAGATTCTAGCCATTAAGCCGTCGGATGAAATTGGATTTTTAGCGTATTTATTTTTAGAAACACGCCTAGTGACCGACATCTGCGAAGAGTCTCGCTTTATAGCTATAATAGTCACTGTTTACCAACCCACACCTCGTCCCCAGACTGAAATTGATAGGTCAGGAGCCAAAAATATATATATATATATATATATATATATATATATATATATATATATATATATATATATATATATATATATATATATATATATATAT